CCTTTGTGTCTCACTTTTTTTTGTGCCTCATGTTTGCCATCGAGAACTCCGTACTGGAATCGGGAGCTCATTGATTCTGGAGCATTTAATATGTGTCATCTTATCTTATCTTACCTTATCTTATCTTATCTTATCTTACCTTATCTTATCTTATCTTATCTTATCTTATCTTACCTTATCTTATCTTATCTTATCTTATCTTATCTTATCTTATCTTATCTTATCTTATCTTATCTTATCTTATCAAGCAACAGAAATGTGATTTTTTAGGAGACCGCTGAAAATTTCTTGGAGGGAAGGAAAAGAAATCAAATGAGGAAGTACTTGGAAAAAAAAACCCACTTGGGGCGCTCGCCGCTAAAAACAATCAGGAAAAGACAAATGCGGTTTGTGGGACTCCGGGCAGTTGAATAGACGTAACATTCTTGAACGTCCAGCTCTCACAAAACAAAATTGGTCGCTTTTGAGCACAAGGGGGGCTATCCTGACAAATGCAGTTTGGAGAAAATCGAAGGTAAAGTTTCATGGACACTTGTTCAGTTTCTTTAAAAGACAAGGAGAGTTTTCCCTACAACCAAACAAATATACACACCAATGAAATCAAACTTCTCCTATAGGTAGGGCAATGTCCACTTTTGGTGTAGGTCAAGATTTCTAGAAACCCCGAAATCTGGGTTAGCCCGCTCGTCCTTAAAAGCAACCAATTTAAGGCAAACAAGGCAGGAGGGGTATACTCAAATTTATCCACTTCGGAAGACGAAACAGATGTCTGACGGACGACGAGGAAAGGTCAAGATGAAGACTGATGCAGTAGCTCTTCTGTTTTAGCGTGTCCGAGCAAAAGAATGAAGGAAGAACCGTGATCGCCGATGTCTGTCGTTTTTAGTTTTAGTAAGAGTTTTACGGCACTTGCATCACAATTAGGCCAAAATAAGTGCAGATTAGAGGTGTTACAAGAGAGTAGCCAACACAAAAAAGAAGGAGGAGAAATAAAGACGATAGATGTTTGATAGGAAAGAAGGAGCAAACCACACTAGAATAGGCACCCACCAACCACCCATGATGTCTGTTGCAGATCTTTATGGTGTTACTCTATCTCGATTCATATTATTTTATCTCGATTCACGTTATGTTATTTCTATTCAAGTTATTTTATCTCGATTCATGTTATTTTATCTCGATTTGTAATATTATTTTATCACGATTCACGTTATTTTATTTCTATTCAAGTTATTTTATCTCGATTCATGTTATTTTATCTCGATTTGTAATATAATTTTACCCCAATTCATGTTGTTTTTTTTAATCTCGATCCATGTTATTTTATTTTTATCCATGTTATTTTATCTCGATTCATGTTATTTTATCTCGATTCGTAATATTATTTTATCTCGATTCATGTCATTTTATCCCTACTCATGTTATTTTATCTCGATTCAAGTGCCGTGTTGTTGTTTTTCTCTCTCTCTCTAGGCGTGGAGACAGCACCGCTCTGAGAAGTTGGGCCGATCCACGCAGGGATAACTCTGGCCCGGACATCTCAGGCTTACCAACATTGTGCTGTGGTATATGGTGAGTCGCTGATGGATGGATGGATGGATGGATGGATGGATGGATGGATGGATGGATGGATCGATAGATGGATGGATGGATAGATCGATAGATCGATACTCAAGTACACACACTCACGGGCACTCACACGCACAATCTCTCTTTCTCTCTCTCTCTCTCTCTCTCTCT